ATAGCTTTGAAGCACCGCAGACTACATACCCTTGCAGATACGTAGTTTATGTTAACTAGAAGAGTTTTTCTGATATATTTCAGACTAATTGCTGCTATTGGGTTCTATATAATAAAGTCAACTGATTATTCATAAGATATAACTGCAAGGTTGGTAGCCCGGTTATTAAGTTGTCTAAAGAAAAACTTTATTTATAATTGAAATTTCTAAATGTACCAATGTCAGACTCATATAAGATATAGTGATACGATCCGGCTTTAGTCTTCGCTATAACTAAAGCTAAGAACAAAAAGAGATGTCAGCCAAGTTTTATAAAGATAAATGTAAAGCTGAGGGACAGACTGACATTCCAATATAGCAATATCCATTTATCTGCTGATATAGATCAAGAATATATATGCATTTGGACATATCTCTAACAGTGCTCTAGACATTTCGTGATAAAATTGAAATGTCCTCTGCAAGTGCTTAAAAATTAGTCCTCAGACAAAGCCCTCTCACAATGGAGTGTATGCATTATGCCTAATAGCAGAGCACACACACACACACACACACACACACGCACACACTGACACTCAGCTAGTTAACTGTGCTTTGTGGCACAGATGCCTTTGTCTCTGCCCCTGCACGAAAGCTGAAAGCTGCTCGTCTAATAAGCCCCGTCGCGGGGCATGCAACCTGCCTGTCCTATCGTGTCCTGTCTTTGCTGTTGGCTCTGACAATGAGTTGGCAGCTGGCAGCTGGCAGAATTGGATGCCATACGTCGCCGCGGGCCGCACTTGACCCGGGACACTTTGGGGCCAAGCGTTGATGAAGCTCAAAGCCCCCTTCCCTTCCCCCCTTGTCCAAGCCAGAGGCCACACTCAGCTCTTAGCTCTCACCTTATTTATACAATCCACAGACACTTTGCACGCTCTTGCTGATAAATCTCGAACAATTAGCTGCTTGGAATTTTTATGCCAACCATCCAACTCGACTTTTATAATAAAAAGCTATTATTTTTATTAAGAATTTGCGCTTGAGCTGAGCATTTAGCCTGCAGCTGGAATGCTTCGCAAAAACAATTCGGCATAATTAAGTGTTGGCCAGCTTGAGCAACAGTTCGAAGTTCATTTGTTTAGCACCTTCTTACACCTCCTACTTACACCTGGCCTGTTAGCCCGTATTAGCCGCAGCAGCAGCAGCTGGCAAAACTTTTCATATTTTTCCCTTGAATTTTGCATTAACCAAAAAACCTCGTCAAAGTTTTGCAAAACTTTGCATTTATTTTGCATTTGCAAACTGTTTGAACAGCCATCGGACTAATCAGCCCGACGGTGTCCGGGTGCAGGTCGTAGGGAGTTCTGAGAAAAGGGGTGAGGGGAGGGGGGGGGGGGGGCTGCACCCTTTACAAATTGTAATGTCAGTTCATTCTGTAATTTCTTATTTCGCTGTTGCGCATTCAAGAATTTATCTTGTTGCTGTCTTGTATTGTCCGTTAGCTAACGTTAAGCTCCTAAGCCCCAACCCCCAACCCCCAACCCCTGACCCCCAACCCCCAACCCCTGACCCCTGACCCAGTGTCTGCCCGGTAAACCCTGTACAAACCCTGAACAGGCAACATCTAGTGGGTCGCATTGTTGTGCACTGGGCCGCAGCTGGTCTGCCATTAAATCAACAATGGCGCTCGGTACACGTGCTTCCCTCTCTGTCTCAGTGTGTGTGTGTGTGTGTGTGTGTGTCTTTGTGTGTTTTATACCCTGCATTCAAGTTAGATAATCGTTTATGTAGCCTCTAAAATATATATAAAGCACGTGTATCTTTATTTGATTTATGACAAAACTGGTTGAGAATTATAAAAGAAAGTTGAAAATTGGTTTCGCTTGAGCACATACAAACTATTCTAACACAATGTGAACCTGATTTTATTGATTTGCAGGTTCTAAAGCCGAATAGAAAGCACGCGCAGGCTTTAATCTTAATAGTTTTATCTTTCATTTAGTTGCAGAGCCTCTGAAAGTCTTATATTCTATATAAAGCGAGTAGCTTTATTTGATTTATTCCAAAACTGGTTGAGAATTATAAGAGAAAGTTGAATATTGGTTTCCCTTGAGTCCTGGGTTCGAAGCCCAGCTAAATCAGTATTTCATTTTAATCAGTACTTGCTTTTATTGATCTTCAGGCTCGAAACACGACTTTTTTAAATTGTTTTGTCTTTCATTTAGTTGCAGAGCATCTGCAAGTCTTATATGCTGCACAGTCCTCGTTATTGCGCTTTGTATGTTATTGTGCATTGTCTGGGTTTTCATTTGGCCCGCTTTCACATTTGGATTCGTCTCTAACCTGACTTTTATATGCATAAATATATATATATATATATGTATATATATATATATATATATTGCGTGTGCTGGAATATTTCAACTTATTGTTATTGCCCTGGATAAAACAGTTCTCTGGGCTCAGGCAATTGAGTTTTTATGCGTCGTTGATTGCTGCACATTTCTCACAAACACACGCGCGCTCACAAAGTTCAACAGCTCAGACACACACACAGACACACACACACACAGACACACAGGCAGACAGACAGGCAGAGCGTGTGACATGCAATATTGATGTTCCTTGTAATGCAATTTGCACATTGTCCCCTACTCCATTTGTCTTTCGCACTGGTTCTCGCACTGGTTCTATTTGTCGTATGTTTTACTGATTTCGTTTTCTGTTTTTCGTGAGTTAGTTTCTAATACAGCTCTTGCCCATTTGGCTATACGCTTTCGCTTTCTTTCGAGTTCTGATTCTTTTGCAAGCAAATCTTTTGTCTTTTCTGTCTTTAGTTAGTTTCCTCGTTTTGCTGGTTCCAGTTCTAGTTCCGTTTGAGCTGCTAGTTTTCTTTCTAGACGATACCTTTGTCTACTTTTTCTCAGCTTAGTTAGTTCCTGTTCATGTTCCTTATTTTGCTGGTTCCAGTTCTAGTTCTGTTTGAGCAATTAGTTCAGTTGCTCTATTTCCTTTTCTGCTTGCGAGGTTTCCGACTCTGCTGTCTCTCTTGAGATCCCTTTTGGTTCTGTTTATCTTTAGTTTTTAGCTCCATTGTTTGTTCCAGGAACTAGTTCCATTCCATATACAATTGAGTTTCTTTTTCTAGTTCTGCTCCAGTTTCTATTTCAGAATCTAGTTCTTTTACACTTTTTAGAACTCTTTTGCTCTCTCTCTGTCTCTCTCTCGCCCCCCCTCTCTCTCTCTCTCTCGCCCCCTCTCTTTCTCTCTCCCTATCTTTATTTGTGGCTTACGTTTCTTGCTTGCGCTCTTGTTTACTTTGCAGGATCTGTTTCTGGTTCAGTAGCTGATTCATTTTCTGCTTCGGCTCTTTCTGGTTCTTTTTAGGAATCTATGGTTCAGTGAATTTGACTTCTAGTTCCTTGCTAGTTCGTTTTGCGTGTGAGCTTAGTTCACAGTTCAGTTTCTAGTTTATATAATGTTTTTCTCAGCTTCCGTATTTACGCGTGGTACTTTTTTCAAGTTCTGGTTCGGTTTTCCGTTGAACTTTTATTATATTAGTTTTTGGTTGAGCATTTAATTTTTATTTTCCGATTTTATTTGCTGCCCGTTTAATGTTTTGTTGTTGTCTGTTGAATACATATATTTTTTTTTGTGCCTTCAATTTTAATGACCAGCATGTGAAGGCCATAAACGGTTGGCCAACAAACAGTTCCGCCTGGCTGTACGTACGTACATACGTATTGATACGGCGCCGCCATAAAGTATGCTACGATAATTTCGCTTCACAAATATGCTTGTTGCTGTTGCTGTTGCTGCTGCTGCTGCTGTTGCTCGCATCGCTTCTGCTTGAGGTTTAATGGCGTGATGGGCATGTGGAAAAGTGGAAAATTCCAACGAAGTGCGGTCATTTTAATAACGAAAAACATCAGCTCTTTATGCACTCGTTGCCATTGTTGTTGTTGTTGTTGTTGTTGTTGTTCCTCCTGCTGCTCGTTTCGTTGTTTGGCTTCTATTTTACTTGCTCTTCCTCTTGTTGTTGTTTTATTTTATGACTCTCCCTGCTGTTGTTGTTGCTAGTAGCTGCGAAAAACTTTTTCAATATACCAGAGTACTTTTTGTTTTCTACCCCGTTGCCTTGCAGCGCATATTTTCCACTCACTCCCTCCCCCTCTCGCCCCCTCTCCCTCTCTTTGTGTGTTTGCAATGCATTTAGCACTATCCAGCTTAATTTTTAAATAATACAAAACATTTGCGCACAAATAAATTCATTTAAAATTTTAGATTTTCATGTTCTCTCTCTCTCTCTCTCTCTTTCTCTCTCTCTGTTTGAGGTGTTAAGTCTCTTTAAACTCTTTGTAACCTCAACATATTCTAATTGCTGTCTTAATGGGCGCTTAATTTTTGGCTGTTTGCCAAAATTTCAATTGCCCATTCAAATATATATTTGCAGTAAAGTTTATATGTTATATGTGGTCGAGCACACAGCGTGTTCTGGCTTTCATTTTCTATCCAAAATCTCGCCACTTGCTAAACTATTGAAAGTTTTCAACTTTGCTCGACAAACTTTAACCATAAACTTGCTTATTGCTTCAATTGAGAGTAAAATACTCAAGAGCTCACATGGCTTAGAATGTAGAATGAGCTAAAGTTGTGTAAAAATAGGCACAACTCAAGTGGATTTTCGAGATTGCCTTGTTTTATATTAAATATTTACAAGCTATTTTTAGCTCATCTATGTTTCTTTCTTTTTGTGTGGAGCAGACTTCTGAATGAGACTTTTCTTTAATATAAAAATTTATTCGTAATAAATTTTGAATCTGTGCATAGTTAAGACTTTTCTTTAATATAAAGATTATTCTTAAGATATTTGTTGGTTTTCGCATTGAAACTTTTTGTTGGCAGTTAAATTCCTGGCTCGAAGTCTAGTCCAGTTCTGAAGGATGCCAGTATATAGTATATTATATTATATTATTTGATATCATATTAATATATATCCGCTTTTATTCTTGCTTTCGCAGGGTCAGTGCTCGCCTGGCACACTGCCCATGGCCTGGGTCGATGAGGGACCTGGTCCGCCAATCTGTCCGCGTTCCTGTGCCGAACAGCAGCCACCGGCGAGCAGTCCTGGGGCGCGCACCGACGATAATAAACTCAAGTATTTCATAAATGCAAATACGATTAACTATAAGTCGCCGCAGATGCGTTTAAGTCAAAGCAACAGCAACAACAATAACTATAAGGCCATGTCTAGAGTGCGACGCGATAGGCAATGGGACGAGCTGGCAACGGAGGCGGCAACAACAACAGCAACAACAACAGCCGAGCAGGAGGAGTTTGAGGAGCAGGAGGAACTGGAGCAGTCAGAGACAACCACACTCTCGGCCACAGCCAGCAGCAATGACTTGGATGAGCTGGAGGATCGGTCCACGTTTCCCTACAGCCACCTGCAAACACACGAGCAACTTAGCGCCAACGAACAGCAACAACAGCAACAACAACAGCAACAACAACAGCAACAGCAGCAACAACAACAGTGCCTTGATTACCTGGGCGATGCGGCCGAGACGAGTCCACAGCATTTGTGCGGCCTGCGGTCGCCGGGTCAGCTGCTCGCGCGCCTGCGCCACCTTCGACTGCGCCATTGCTGCGAGCGCAGCGTGTTCAGTGCGCTGCACACGTTGGCGCTAAATGTGACGTTGACGGATCGGGACGAGTGCGTCCGGCTGCTCAGCGATCTGCTCGATGTGGATGCGCTGGCCAATCGGCTTACCTGCGAACTGGCCGAGATACTCTTTCGCTTCGACTGCCGGCAGGTGTATTCGCTGGTCAATCAGTGCGATGACTGCAAGGTGAGTACGAAACGGGATTCTATCTATGTTTTATGCAAGATTAGTTGTACTTACACTAGATTGTCTAGTCCTTAGATCTTTCCATTGGAGTGGACAGAGACTTCAGAGTGTAATTAAGTATTTTTCTATATAGACATCTCACTCTCACTTCAGCATTCTCTAGATTGGGATTACTCTGGGAAGAATTTGAGTATTCCTTTTGAGCCTATTTCTCTCAGAGTATGGAGAGTTATAGATATATAGTATATGGAAATATAAGAATAGATTACACTCTTTCTCTCTTTTACATATACATATAAATCCTACCTCTTAATCCCTTTATCTCTCCTGATCTCCCCATTGATAACATATTCGGAGTAGAATCCATTCTAAATGGCTCCAAGTTCTTCAGACTCTTTCTCTGCCTTCCTCTCTGTCTGTCCCTTTATCTCCACAATGGGCAGTACAGGTGGAGTAGCATAGATTCTGTTAGATTCTCTCTCTGTTTCTCCTTGTCTCTATTTCTCTACTGGCACGACACGCGCTCGCATTACATCATGTTTTAATTAAATACTGGACAATGGGTTGGCAATCTTTGCCACAGCGCAACGCAGCGCAGCGCAGCACAGCTCGCATTTAAATTCAGCCCGTTAACCCCAAAATATGCCAAATCCCCATGCCCCCCAGCTCCCCTGGCCACAGTCCAACAAGATAAATGAAAAAAGCAGGCAAATGTATATTCGAACAAAGTATACGACCAGGCAATACCCTGCCTTCCCTTTTTTCCAGTTATCTCTTTAAAGTTTTGTGGCTTAGTTGGCAAATAAATTATTTGGCTATATTTGGTAACATGTACAAAGTTGTGCGTGCTCGAGTAAGAATGGACACAAAACTTCTGTGTGTTAGTTATAGGAAAGTGTACATGCTATATATATATTCTAGCTGAAGCTACAGCGAAGCCTGGCTATAAGGAAAGGTCAACCCTTCGCCCGTCCGCCTTTCGCTGGGTATTAAGCTTCTGCTGCTGCTGTTGTCAGTGTGTAAACTCTCGGCTATATAGCTAAATCCTGCAGAGGGACGCGACACTTCCGTGCGGCAACAGCGCTGCGTGACATTTTTAGCTGCTCATTAATTATTGAAGTCGCCGTGCCCCCCCCCCCCCCTTCCCCCCACTTCAGAAATCCGCGCACAGCAGTCGTCCCTGTCCAGGGTTTAATATTTCTGCTCGTAATTATCAGTGTTTTTGGAGAGCGCACACAGAAAATGGGCGACGGGGCTAAAAAAGCAAACGCGCTGCGGTTAATTTGTGGCACTTAGAGGTCGCCTACTGGCAACTGGCAACCGAGCTGAAGCTCTGCCTGTGCCACATTTTTCACTGTCTTTGCGAACATTTGACTGCATATTTAATGTCCGCGTGTGCGTGTGTGTGTGTGTGTGTGTGTGCGCATAATTGGCAATTATTTGTTGCGAGCCTTTAAACAACTTGCAACAAGCAGCTGACCAACTGGCAGCTACAAAGAGCTGCAACGTTGTCAATGCGGCAGTTGCATAAAGACTGGGCAGGCGAAGGGCTGGGATTTGTTTTAGCGGCGGGGGGAGAGACGAGGGGAGGGTGGTGCGACAATGCGACCGCTAATGAGCGCCACACAAAACTGGGCAACAGGGGCAAAAGGAAAAGCTTTGCTCGGGCGCAAAGATGAAAAAGAAAAAAATAAAAAAAAAAAAAATAAAATAAAATGGAAATGGAAATGTCGTGAATGGCCTCTGTCGCAAAGCACGTTGCAAGCATGTGAATTGCGCTGCTGATTATGAAAAACTTGAGGCAGCTGCTAAGCAGCGGCAGCAGCAGCGGCAGCAGCAGCAGCAGAGGCAGCAGCTGCACACACACACACACACACGCACGCACGCAAATTTAAATTTAAATTACGCATACGCCCGGTGTGCGGGCCGTTTGTGTGTGTGTGTGTGTGTGCGTGCGCCTGGCACACATTTAAATGCCTGCACAACAGCAGCAGCAACAACAACAACAACAACAACTGGCAAACTAACAGCGAGCGGCTGTAGCCTGTTACAGCTGCCCCCTCCCCTCCCCTCAACCCACACTATGAGCAGCCGCCCACGCCCCCCCCCACCCCCTTCTGCTAGGCCTTAACATGTTTCTAGTTCGAAACGCGGCTGCTGTGCAAATCAGGTGATGCCGAGAGAGTGAGAACGAGTGAGAGGGAGCGAAAATTTGAGAGAGCGTAAGTGTGCGAGAGCGTCTTGTCAGCTGGCTGCTTAATCCTCTCTCACTCTCTGCCTCTCTCGCTCTCACGTTATTCAGCGCCGACTCTCACATGACACGAAACATTTTCGTTTCTGCAACGTTTTTTTTTTTATCACAGTTTATATAAGTTGGGGTTTAGGCAACTTTTTTTTGATGCCTCTTGTAGCCAGTGTTGGCTAAGCTTAAAAAATATTTGATTTTTTTCAATTAATTGTTTTAGGGTTTTTATTTTCTCAGGCATATCTATTTGTTTTTGATTTGAATTTTGTTTCATTCTGACTTTTCCAGTCGCTAGTTTTTGAAAATTGAACTGCGCGCGCTGCGCTCCACATTCAGCGCCCGCCACAGCTTCCAATTGCCAAAAAAAGAAAAAAACGCAAAATGAAAATCTAGAAAGCAAGAAAAAAATCTAGTAGAAAAAAAAAGAAAATTAAATAAGTTCGTAGAGAGGCGCTCGCTCGCATTTTGGGCTTCCAGTTGGGCTGCCCGCACACACGCTCTGCACACATGGCCAAGACGCGAGGCCTACTTGAGGCTCTGCACTTTCGGCCAGTTTTAAATTAATTAACTCGACAGCTTAGGCCGCTGCCTTATATATACTATATGCACATATATACATATCTTATCGATGTTGTTGTTGTTGTTGTTGTTGTTGTTGTTGTTGTTGTTGTTGCTGTTGTCGTTCTCATCTCATAATTACGACTGTGTGTATTTATGATTACGTTCACCGCAAGTCGTCTAATTAGTCAAAAGGACTCTTGCCTGATATTGTGGCCAACCGCAGTGTCCAGAAATGCCAAAATGCGGCGTTGCTTACACACACACACACACACACGCGCACACACACACACACACATACGCGCACACACCTCTAACCCATTTTCATATTTGGGTTACGAGTCTTTTGATGGTCAAATAAACGTAAATTAGTTGTTGGCCATGGAAGAAGCTGGCGAATATAGAGCCAAGCGCACATATTACTTTCTATTGCATACCTTTAGGGGCTAGCTGGCACTTTTATAAAACTATTTTGGCAAAGCCATTCGAAACAAAACATTACGTTTGTTTTTCCCCATTTCAATGTTGAATTCCGCGCACAGTTTTTCGCCTTTCTCTGTTGTATATGTATAATATTTGTAAAGTATGTGAAAACTATTTGGTTTAAAACAATTGAAAATTGTTAAATTTTATTGTTTTAACTCTGATTTTAAAGGGGATATCTCCCGTTTGGTCTTATAAAAATAACTGTACGCTAATATTTTAAATTTAATAGCTTTTGTTTCATTTTGAAATTTATTTCTAATACTACAAGCCAAAAGCAACTAAAAACTTTTTTGTAGTTTGTAAAGAAAGTATTTCCCTAAACTAACGGACAAAGCTTGTCATATAAGTGTTTCGTTTCCACTCATTCCTTTAAGTGACGGACATTGCTTGTCAAACAAGTATTTGATTTCCACTCATTCCTGTAACTGACAGACATATCTCTTCAGATGCATATCAATTCTTTTGACAGTTCATTTATTCAAGACTTAATTTGTTCCGTGGACCACAAGGCAAAGCATTTCCATTCCATTCCTTAAACTAACAATATAGCATGTGTTTGGAGTTCCTTGGTTTCTTCACAAGTATTGCCCAGTCTACAAAGCAAGTGTTTCAATTCCACGCGTTTCTTAAACCAACAGCCTTATGTATATCAGAGCATATTCTGTATAAACTATATTTAATACTTAAGCCAACAAAAAAGTAGGCTCCAAAATATATAAGTCCATTGGCTGAAGGAACGCGTGGAAATGAAACACGTGCTTTGTAGCCTACGAAATATATTGACTTGGGTACAGAAATATAAACTTAACTTAAACTAACTGATATAGCGACTTAATTTAAATGTTGAATATGGCCCAGTTCCATTGATTTTTGTTAGATATTTCGTTTAAACCATTGAGGATTTTTCTGACAACAGTATTATTAAATTGTAAGCTCCACAGCTCAATTGTTTGTGAAGCTTTTCATCTAAGGCAAATTGCTTTGCAGTTGTTCCTGTTTTCTTATTCATTTTCATCCCACAACGGCGGTCAGAGTTCATACGCCTGGGTTCAAGGTTACATTCAAAATTTTACAAACTTATACAGAAGCGAATATATATATATATATGTATATATATTTCTGTATAGCTGCGGTGTGGCTCCCATTCTTATAACACTTTTTGAGCTGTCGCGTGTGGTTCCGTTTTTTTATTTATTTTTATTTTTATTTATTTTTTTGCTAGGCAAAACTTTTTGTTCTATCGCATTCTGTTGCTGGGCATCATCGTAATCTATTGCCCATCGAAGATTTCGACAAACACAACACACACACACACACAACACACACACTCGGTAACTGTGTGTAAATTTGCATTTTACATATTACAAAGACACTTACGTCATCGCTGATACGAGCTTCTGTGCGATGGTGGGGGGGGGGGGGTGAGGTTTCGGGGGGGTTTTGCCAGTTGGGGACAGTAGGCGTTGCAGGGTTTTTGTCGTGGATGGAAGGGAGGGAGGGAGGGAGGGAGGTCGGTCGGCGGTGTCGGTCCGTTGAAAGGAAAATTGTCAAAAGCGGAAGTAGCGTAATTTCATAAATGATTGATTACACACACTTTACACGCATTCTCACTTATGTGCTCACACACACACACACACACGTGCACCCACACATGAATATTGCTTAGGCTGTTGCTGCTGTTGTCCAGAGCTGGCGACAGCTGACGCACACA